CGCAGACAGAGCCTTGAGCTCGACCCTGTCTCTCTCCTTTTTCCTCTGAGCCCAGAGATCGATCGCTGACCCCACCATTGGGCCAACTCTTTATTTATCTGGCTGCGCAATGATATTATCAGCCTTAAACGTTATATACAGCAAATGTCTTCGTAAATCAACACAATAGGATAGCCTGCAGAGACCAGCGTGGTCTGCCTTAAAGAAATCCATCTCTATCTCTCTCTCTCTCTCCCTCTCCCCTCCCTTACAAACACCCCATCTCCTTTCCATCTTTACAACTGGGGATATTTTAGATGCTGGACTTGGCGATTTGATCCCTTGCTTTCAGCTTCGTGGGAGGAGGCCTTCGCCAACCAGGAGATGGATAGACACCATTATCTACCCATCACTGTGATCTCCACCAGAGGTTCCCTTATCAGCTAGATCCAACTGCCTAGACCTACTCTATTCACATGATCCGGATTTCTCAAAATTGGGGTAGAAGAGAAGGCGAGGGGTGGAGAATCAAGTGTGCAACCTTGCACCATGTTAATTGTTTTCTTTCCTCTCAATTACATTCATAAACCTCTTTTTTCCATTGAATGTTATTTCTTTGTGCTTTAAAATTGAAACCACGTGCAGCCTTCTCCCCTCAGCACACACAATAAACGCGCTACCCCCTCCCCCAACCCATCACAAAACTATTTACATCTTGGTTACTCACTCGGCTCTTGCCCCGGAGAGAAGAAATTGGCCCCATGGGACTAGGTGAGGCTTTGTGAAAGCATCTCTCAAATCCGAATCTCAGGCCCCCATCTCAGAGAGAGGCTCCTGGGCCCCCCTCCGGGCCTCCCTCCCATCCCCTCCTCGCACAGGTGGTTGAGGCTTACTCTGGGAGAGCTAGCACAGAGGACATCCAGAGAGAAGGGCAGCTGTGTCCGGCCAGGCCCACCCGCTACCCGCCCCCCACACCGACCCGCCCGCTGGCAGGGGTCAACGGTGGCGGCGGCAGCGAGTGGCTCTCTCTGCTGCACCCTGATCCACGCGCTCTGGGCACCGTAGAAACCGCGCTGGGAGCAGTGGCTCCCCGGGGAGCGTCCCAGACCTAGGCCCTCCCAGGCAAACAGTTCCTCCACAAATAAATAAATAAATAGATAGATAGATAAATAAATAAATAGTTAAATAAATAAACTCCAAAGAGGGGAGAGGGGAGCTGGAAAATAGATTCGCTGACAGGGAGAGATAATAAATGAGAGGCGCTTTCAGATAGATATCTCAGACGTGAAATTGCGCCCAGCTGGTTGTGTAAGCAAACAAATAGTTTCATGTTAGGAACTCTCAACTTGTGGCTTGATGAATAGAACACGACAGAGGTAAATGGGTCTTTAACTCATTTAGGAATACAACTCTTTGGCTTTCCAAGTTAAAGGCCCAGTGACGCCACGGATCCTGAGCAGGCCCTCTAACAAGAGTTTTATTAGTCGCCACTTGCGTCTCCCTGCGTACCCACCCCACGCTCCGTCATGGTTTCCCATTCGCAGAGACATTCAGGTGATTTGTTCTGCGGGATCGAGAAGCTTACGGGAGGCGATCCTGCCGCTGTAAGAGATGTAAGGACTGCCTTCTGTCTGCTATCTGAGAGGAGGAGGAAGAGGAAAACGAATGGAAAAAAAATAAACATTTTGCACGTTCCAAGCAGAAGAGCTCAGGTGGCTCCCCAGTGCCCCCAAGCGCAGAGCTGGGCAGTGGGGCCTCGAGGAGCCGCCCGACGGAGACCCCGTACGGCAGGCCGCCAGGCACGGAGCGCCGCGCCAGCGCGAGGGGCCGAGTCCGGGAAACCCGAGGTCGTTCGCGTTGCCCACCCCGGGCCCCGTCCCCGTCGCCGGGCCTCTGCCAGGCCTGGTCGCAGGTCGGGCTGTGCGTGTCTGGGCAAAGGTCACATGGGAGCTCCCTCGCGCCAGTCCTTGTTCAGGGCAGCGGATGAGGCGCAGCCTCTCTCCCTCGAGATTCTCGGAGGAGAGCACGTCCGGAGACAGCCTTTTTGATGTTTTTAGTAAAACTGTGGCTAACGTAGTTTAAACCGACTTCAAAGTTCTGGTGGCCCAGCAAGTGTTTAGGTTAGAAAAGGGAACGCTTGACTTTCATATGTCATGGGTAATTTCGACAGGGAAGTCACCTTGTGGGGGCTGCTCTCCGACTGTCCGGGGGCCTCTCCGCTGGCCCTGGAGACCCGCGGGTTCTCCCCCTCGCCCGGTTAGGCCAGCCCTCCTTTTCCGCCCGCCTAGGACTGAGACGGCCCTGCAGGCCGCGGCGGGGCTGCGCGCCTCAGGTGGACTGTCTGGCCACCATTAGCCTGCGGCCTCGCGGCCTCGCGGCCTCACACCCCGGTTCCACGGCTCCCCCTGGCGCTTGGCTCGAAGACAGGTTCACTGCTCAGGGGCCCCGGGGCAGCCACCCAGGCAGAGACTCCCACCTGCTCCACGTCACCTCCCGCCCAGTGGCTTCCAGGGTCTGCGGAGGCGCTGAGCGCCGAGAGAGCGGGGCAGACCGACCGCTATTGGAGCTGCCCCTCGGCCCTGCGAGGGGCACCCGGGCCGCGGCCCACTGGCGTGCCCTGCCGGGCAGCCTGTAGGTCACCAGGAGCCCAAAGGACTGTTCCTGGTTGTCGGAAGGCTCATTCCGTGCCCGAGGAGCCGTGATCTCAGCTTCTAAACCGCCCCTTGCTGCGGGCGTGTGTACGGGCCCGACTGCGCGCTCTGAGAGAAAGCCTCGGTGCAGGCAGCCGGTACTGCCCGGCAGGGACGCCCGCACGGCGCCCGAGTCCCTGGGAGGCTCTGCCTCTCTGGTTGGGACACATAGAGACCTCTGAAGACGACTGTCTCTCTGTGTGCAATGCAGGCGAGGACTGCCCCAACCTCCATGGAGTCAGCAGAGGAGAAACCCACCGCCTGCGGCCCGGGGAGCAGAGTACCTCTTTCTCCTTGCCTTCCTCAGCCCCAGGGCCTCCAGTTCCCGGTTCCCAGACTGAGCCTGCGGGGGACTCTGTGAGGCCATAAGATGAGCTGCTCATCTTCCTACACTGGTCCGCCCTGGGCTTAGACCCAGGTGTAGAAGGGTGGCTGGAATTCCCCAGGCAGTGGGCACTAGGCAACACTCCGCCCCGCCAGGCAGAGCTAAGTTGGTACTGTCGCCTCTGGACCCTGGAGCAAGAACCTCGTACATTCCAGGCCTCGGTTTCAGGGCCAGTCCCCACATTGGGCTCCTGTGCCTGGGCCTCCACGTTGAAATTAATTGAAAAATACGTTTCAGACCTACAAAAATGTTTATCTGTTTTCATCAGAGGGATCACACTGTAATGAATATATTTACATCTCATTTTGAGAAACGCAGGAAAGATCGGGAGTGTTCGGTGGCAGCTCCCCTCCCCCTCTGTGCCCTGGTTGCAGCCCACCCCACTCCAAGGCCCATGCTCTGCCAGCCACCGGGCAGCACAGGAGGCCTTCCTGGGAGAGGTCAGTAGTTAAAGGAGTTCTCCCCAAGACCAGCTGCCTTGGGTGCCCAACCTGCAGGGCAGTCTTCCTAAGCACAAAGACATTGCTCCTGGGTGCAGTGCAAAGGATGAGGAACATTCAGAAAGGGTCTGTCAGAGAGCAGGGAGGCCCTGGGGACTGAGGGGCTCCACCCTCCACACACCCTGCAGGGCCAGCCACCCTAGGGCTCAGGCCAGTCTCCAGACAGGTTCGCTAGGGATCATGGACCTGCAGGGGTTTCTGCACAGATAGCATGGTATTGCTTGAACTGTGCTGTACCCAGAATATCTAAACCTCAAGCTGGTTGGAGTGTAGGAGCTTGTTAATACATTTTTAAAGGAGTGGGGTGGGGACCTGGAGACTTCTAGACAGCAAATGGGAAGCAAAAGTTTGCCAATGACTTCTGAAAGTGAAGCTCTTGCCTCAGATGTGCCTGTTAGGGGTTGGGGGAGGGGGTGAAGGTGAGAGGTGCTATTTTAAAAGATCTGGCTTTATTAATATGGTAAGAAAAAGCTCCCTTGGCAGTATGTGTTCTCGCAGTGCCGACTGTGATCCCATAAAACATTCATGCTCTGAAAGCTGTTATAGAGAGCAGCAACCCCCCCCCCCCACCGCCCGCCACCGCCACCAAGCACATCCAAGGAGAGGCCTGGCGGGTGGTTTCTGCCCTGAAGGGGCCACTAGGGCCCAAACACCACTTCTGCAAAGAGTCTGCTCCAGCCTAGCTCCCCTACTCCCAGGTCTCAGGTCCACATCTCTAAAGGCCACAGTGGGGGCCCTCTCATTCACCCAACAGACCTGGAGGGCCCTCCATGGGAACCTTTTCACAGGGTTTGGAGAAAAGGGCAAGGCATAATCATACCAGAGGGGGAGCAAAGCCAGGGCTCCCAGCACAGAGGCCCCAACTCTCTCCTATAGCTGGGGAAGAGGCCAGACCCTCCAATCATGGCGTGAGGTCCAGAGGTGTCTGAGTGGCCCTCTCCATCCCTTGACCCCTACTTCTAGTGCTCCACACCTCTACAGCCAGGCAAGTTCCCACCTGCAGTCACCAAAGCAAGCTGTGCCCTGAGACTGGCCCCGCCCGCCCATATGGCCAGGCCTGCCCCAGACTGAGGCCCAGCCTGAGGCCCACCTGTGTGCAGGGCCTCTAGCTTCCCACTACCCACAAGGTCACATTGGATGCTGCTTGCCACCAAGGCTCCCAGCCTTCCCTAACCACTGCGGCCCACGCAGAGCCTGGCCCTCCAAACTTACAAAACCAAGCAGTGGCTTGATTTAGGAAATAAATCTAGTCAACTTGGTAATGAACCTTGAAAGTTCTCCACTCTTACCCCCCCCATTCTAATAATAATTGGAGTAGAGATTAATTGGAGGGTTTTTTTCTCACTGATGACATCTGTCAAGCAATCAGACACGTGGGTTTTGCTAAATTCTTTTATTTTTGTTTAAATTTTCACTTCAATTTTAATTCTTGAAGAACAGCCTCGACAACATATATCGCACTCATTATAAGAAGCAAAGGGTTATATCAAAAATTATTAGTATAGAATCACAGGAAATCTGGTTTGGAACCAGAAAAAAATACAAAACAGATATAGATACATAGACACAGGACAATTTTTTATAATTATTTGGAAAATGTTATTTTCCCCTAATTCTTGTTTCCTTTTTTATGTGCATACGATGTTTAAATTTTACAAAAAAATGAAAATAAAGACTAGTATCTTACAAAATGAATAACAATGTTTGGGGGGGTGCGTGTGTTTCTACATAGGATTCAGTCCACTTCCATGTGTGTTGTTTTCTGTACAGAATATATCCACATCCGTCCACAATAAATCCTGGAAGGTCCATTAGTTTCCTTCTGTTTTATTAAAATTCTCATGGTCCTCTCTTCCAAAGATTGTTTTCTTTTTTTCACCAGACACAAGGTCCTTTTTCTTTCCTTTCCAATGGGTTCACAGATCTGATCCTAAAAGAGTCTCTTTTTCTCCTGGGTTGCAGCTCAGGTTGCCTTTCTGCAGGGTGGGCTGCTCTTGCCTTCCCGGCCCTCCTCCCTCCTGCCCAGCCTGCCCAGCACACTGCACCCTGCATCAGCCGCCCAGTGTCCCCCAGGCTTTGGAGTCCATGGCCCCCGCCGGTCCTCTGAGTCTCTAGGGATGTGGGGGCAGGTGGGAAGCGCCCAGGGTCTAGGAACACTGGATGGACATGTAAGGCCAGTTGAAGCTGCTCCCAGACAGTAACATATCACGGATGAGAGTTTCGATGGGGGTTTTACCTACCAAACGGACGAAGAACAGCTGCTCAATGACTGAGGAGGACACGGTGCGCAGCGAGGGCAGCCTCAGTAGCAGTTTGCCGAAGCGGCTGGGCTGATTAGGGTACTGGCTCCTCACATACTCCTCCAGCGCACACTGCGACTTCTCCTGCAGGCTCTCGATGTGGGCGGCATCGGACAGGCCACAGGCATCTGCCCCAGCAGCCACAGGAAGGGGAGATAAGGGGAGGGGGCACAATGGTTAGGTCAGCGAAAAGCAATAGCACAAGCCATTACAAAATCTTTTTTTTTTTAAGGAGAAAAAAAGAAATAGAAGAAAAAAAGAAAAGAAATGCACCTCTCCATGCTTCCCATTCCTCTACCAGCCCCCAATACAAATAAAATAAATCAAACCCCCACCAAGCCTAGGGAGCTGGAGAGAGAAGCACACGCATGCAGAGGTAACAACCTCTCTCGTCTCTTTGTTTTTTCTCTTTCACCTTTGGATTAAATAATGTACAATGTTGGAGCCATGTTTGCTGTACCAAGCAACCTGTCCTCTGCCTTCAGGGGAGCATCCTTCCGCTGCACTCATTAAAAGGAGGACTTTTGCCCCCTTTCCCCCAGATTTCGAGGTGTCCACTAGCCCTGAAGAAATATGCAGCCTGAAGGCAGTTCTTCAAAGCTTCTTGGAATGCCCCTCTCAAACCCAAATGACCCCAACCAGAAACCTCAGGAAGAACCTAGATTGTGTAGTGAACAAACAAATAAGAGCGGGTAAGGAATCACGGGCTGGCAGTGCCTCGAATCAGATCAAGCCCATGCTTTAGCAATATAGGATTTGAGATCCACTATCCATGCAAGCAAGAATTCTGCAGCAAATCCTTGGTGAGGGTGTAGACTTCTATCTGTGCCTTAGATCAAGTAATTGAAAATTGGTCACATCTCTGTAAGCTGTATAATCATCAGGAAGAATATGGCTCAGTTACTCCAGGCTGCAGAAAGGAGACATCTTCAGTGATCAGACACAAAGCTGAGCTAGAGGCAGCTGCTGCTGCTGCTTCAAAACTGGGAGGTGGGGAGCTGAGGGGAGATTTGGGGACATAGGTTTCCTTTATAGGACCACGGGGGAAAAAGGCACCTACACACAATGACAGCCTCTCAAAACCTGTGTGTTTATCTCACATCAAGCAAGTCTCCTCTTGGTCTCCTAAAAATATTCCAGACATCAGTTTATATTATATCAACTAACTAAGAGGCAAGCAAATGGAGGGAACGGTGGAATCAGATGAATGGTCTTCCTCTCTTAGTTCAAACACTTGTGTTGTTTCTTATATTAATAATAAACATTTAAAAATCAGGAAGATCACAGAGGAACCCTTAGCCAGCCAAGAGATTGACTGGAGATCAAAGACAGAGCTTGCTAATATATAGATCTGGGAAGAAATTCAAGCATGGCAATGCCCCCAAAAGGACATTATATAATTGTGAATGGGCAAGTGTGACCCTAAGAAGACATAGCAAATGATTCAAAGTGAAACCTTCGTCTGCTGAGTTTCTGAGCTTTAGGTCTTTGTATTTCAAGAACTAGGATTTACAAAGCATTCTAACACCTTCATCTACAAGGTTATGGCCTTGAGCAACAACACAAATAAAACTAGTGATAATTCAAGAACTTCTGAGGCAAGTCTCCTTTGACCCTAGATCCAAACTAGGTTCCTTTCAGATGTCTAATTACTCCAGCCAGCTGCTTGGGTGCATCCACACTGGCCTGAAGTGCGAAGTCAGTGAGGTTTTATGGCTAGCAGGGCGAGGGCAGAAAGCACTTTGGGGCTTTGCTCCTTAGAGAGAGGACCCTGAGGTCTGCCCTTGGCCCTCCTTGCTAACCTGGTTCTGCTGAATGGTCACTGTGCAGACTCATATTTACATATATCTTGCTTTACATGCATTATCTGCCCATTATGCCACAGGATCTCTTTCAGCCTTAGACAATGCAAAATGAAAAGGAACCATTGATACCCCAGCAGAATTTTTGAGGATCCATATGGCATCCTCTCAGGTCTGTAAAATATTTATCTATATTTACAATTAGGGCCCCCAGAGAGCAAGGCCACTACCCTTCTCCCAGCTAGGCCACTGCAAGGGAGAGAAGCCCAGTAAAGGCGTGCTTGGGCCCTGTGCTGGCTGCTTCGACACCTTTCCTCCTCTCAAGGCAGAATGCCTGTAGCTGGGCCTGACTGCCAGGTGCTAGCCGGCAAGCCCTATGGCCTCCTTCCAGCAGGAGCCCTCATTTGGTCCTAGCTTTCCAGTGTTGATAGTTTTCCCCACTCTGGATATTCCTGCAACAGGATTCCCTCAAATGTGGACAGGCAGTGTGAGCTCTTAAATGGATTGAGTGGTTGTGGTAGCAAAGCTAGGTGAGCAGGGGGTGTAATGTAGTCCATATTTATACTCCATGAGTTATATATACTCCAGATAAGAAAAGGAGGCAGAATGTGCAAAATCCATGTCTCACTTTTTATATTGTAGTGTCAATGTGGGAAACTTCAATATTTCTTCTACAGTATATGGAAAAGAAATTATGTAAATAAATAACCATTACTGTTCAGGTCCTCCCGGCTTAGCCTTTGTAGTGCAGAGAATGTATTTCATGTTGTGCATTCAGAAGAGTTTAGTGTTCAGGAAATATAGATGTAATCAGTTGCCATAACTAGAAATCAAAGTTATTATTGTACTGAAAATGGATTTATTGTATTTATGTTAACTAGATGGCTCCTTTCAGGGAAGGTCTCATTTATTTGAGGGAATATTTAGGTACATGAATTAATATACTTTTTTTTTTTTAAAAAAAAAGTAAGTTCAGGTCATGACCTAGTCCTTGGATGCTGTCCAGAATATTAAGGATTAAGCATACCATCCGGAGGCCAAATGTGAAAACCACCACAGGGAACCCCTGTGCCAGCTTCAAATACTTAACCGGAGCAAACCTCATTGGACAATATGTCTAAAACTGTCTTTTCCATCATTCAAAGTTTTCTCAAAAGTTGGATGACTTTGAGAAGGCTTCCCATGAATTCCCTTCTGGTTAGCAATCAAAACAAGTTTAGTCAAAAGTGGAAATGTGTTGTATGAAAGAGGGGGGTGAATTACTACTGACAGCTCTATTTCCATTTTCAGATATTCTGCTTGCAATTTTCCAGCAAAATAACATTATTGTTCACTTCTCGGCCTCCCTTGCACCTTGAAGACTTGGTTTAAGAAACTTCTTTGGGGAAACTTTTTTTAAAGAAACAGTTTTCACAGGGATGTTTTAGGATGAAAAGTTGAAAGAAAAGCTAAGTAATTCCACACTCTTCTCTGCAGCCTGCACAGTCCTTGCCTCTCTCTGGGAAAGGGCAGGAGATCAAAAAAGTCAAGGGGGTTCAAAGAACCTTAGGAGGACAAGGAAAAGGGAGGGTAGACCTTTCTTGAGAAGACCTCTGTGCAGCTCCAAGTCACATCTCTGCTTCAAGACACCTCACTGGAGGAGAATTAAAAACCCCAGCTTCCCTGACACTGGCTTGCTTCCTGATTAATTTGGCTAAAGAGCTGGGTAGTGGAGAGCCAGCCAGGCCCCAGGCCTGCCAGAGCTAAAGCAGCCCGGTCATTGCTTCCCAGGCTCTTTGTCACTTTTGAAAAACACGTTTCTATCAAGAAGACTTATTAAGATAAAATGCATTCAAACACCGAGGAGGCTATTCAATAAATCTTCCATTTGTTTTAAGGTTCTCACTTTATCCTCTTGCAAAGAATACCTCCCTCTCCCACTAGCAGACCTGCATTTGCACTGAAAGTAAAAGGGGGGCAGTCCAAGTCCACGGCTCTGGCCACCCTGCATACAAATGAGATGCTCTTGTCTAAATAAATTATCTGCTGTTCAGATCGATATTAATACTACATTTGCTACATTACAATATTGTGCAAATTTAAGAGTCATTTTAATACAATGTAAATACGATTCTTCACGCATGAAAGCCAAGAAATATTGATAGATTATACCAAGGCCTTGAGAAAGGGGGTTTGCCATCTCTGCTCAAGAATGGTTTTAATTTGGCCTTTGGGTGTCTTGGCTCTAGGATAGATTTATTAGGGTAGTTTATTTGTTCTGTGAATGGAGGAATTAAAAACAATAGTGCCAATAATGGAGGCAAAACTGCAGCTAACCTTACTCACAGTGGGTAAGGCCGAGACCCAGTCTGAGCAGCTCTGTTCCCCACCAGCGTCCCTTCTGGCTTTGTTTATATTTCTCCCTATTACCTGCTGTCCGGGGTGTTTATATGTTTCCCTCTTGCAGGTTACAATAATAAAAAAGGCGGGCAGTGTTTTCAGAGGCTCAGACCAGAGCCTTCAAAGGCTACGTTAATGCACTTTCCTGGAAGTTAATTTGAACCATCTATCACAAGAGAAATTGTTAACATGCATGTTACCACCGCCTACATTTAATTTGATATTTTTAAGGCACTCTGTTAAATTTCCGATGTTGGAGTGTTTTGCATGGCGATGAGATTTATCTCCGGGGCGGGAATCCTCCCATACTTTCGAGTTCTACAGTATTGCTTTTGTTTTTATCTTTCTTGTTTAGATCGAATCCGTTCTTTACGACCCTCAATAACCTCAGCAACTGCAAACATGAATGGTTTCCGATAAGGGAAAATCAGGGGCAGCAATAAAGCAGGATTATTTATGATTTATTTGTGCGTATTCTCTTTCCACCTCTCTGTGTGTGTGTGTGTGTGTGTGTGTGTGTGTGTGTGTGTATGTCGGGAAACTCATCCAGGGAGCTTGCCACACAGAGGAGAAAGCCACATTCCCACGTTCTTTTCCTTCCTTCTCCTCCTTCAGAAACGCTGAGTTCTGGCGCGCGCGCACACACACACACACACACGCAAGCACACCGCACACACGCGCAGCCAGACGGGTCCATGGCACCGCCTCCCCCCATCACACACGCACCCGCTGCCTCTGCGGCCCCGCGCGGGGGACCAGGCCGCTAGGCCCTGCCGCCCGCCCGCTGCCCGCATCCGCGCCGCCTCATCTCCCGCACCGCCGCGCTCCCAAGATGGCAGCGGCGACGCCTACCGAGTCCTGGCGCGGGGGCCGCAAGTCCCGGCCAGGCCCAAGGTCAGGCGAGGGCCCGGCCCGCGCAGCGGCGGCGCAGGAGGCCAGGCCCAGCGGAATGGAGCCTACAGTGGCTCCTGGAGCGGCCTGCCTCCCAGCGACCGCAGCCTCACCTGACGTGAACAGCACGATGGCTTTGAGGCAGCTGTATTCCGCCGAGTCGACGTGCAGCGCCTTGAGCTTCTCCACCTGCTCCTGGAAGATGCGGATGTGGTCCATGAAGGCCACGACGCGGTCGGCGGACATGGGCGAGGCGTGCAGGCCGGCGGCGGCCAGCAGCGGCGCCACGTGCAGCGGCATGGAGCACTGGGCCGCGTTGAGAACGAACAGCTCGCTCCAGGTGAGGCGTAGTAGGGACACCTGGTCGGTAATCTGCAGATCCGGGAAGAATGGGATGTTGCGGGCCCACTCGACGGCGCTGAAGAGCAGGCGCGCGGCCAGCTCGCAGATGTTCTCGATGCCCATGATGTTGTTGGGTTGCATGCATTGGCTGCCGTAGCGCGACGTTGGGTAGGGCTCCGCGCGCAGCAGCAGAGAGATGTAGCCAGATAGGTAACAGTGGCCGTTGAGGGGGTCCCCGTTGGTGAGTGCGTACTGGCCTGGATTGGGTTGGGTTGGAGGCATTCTTCCTCGCTGAACCGCTGACAAAAAGAAAGAGAAAAGAGGCAATGTGCATCCAGGGGGCTTGCGAACATCGCCGAGCCGCAGAGCACCCGACACAATGAGGAGGTTTTTCCCGCAGCCACACGAGCCCCGCGCATTTTCTCTCACGCTCGCTCTCACAGTCCGGACCAGGAAAAAAAATCTGGGGTGAGGCCCTCCAGCTCCGCGGGTCGAAATGCCCAGCCATTGCCTGCGCACCTAGACACCCCAGCCCTGCCAAAACTAGGCCTGACTTCAGGGCCCTCAGCCCGCCATGGCCAATAAAGTACCACCCAATCCCTCCATCACCAAGGAGTAACTCGCAGATTAAGGAAATCCCACTCACCCCTCTAGAGGGAAACATATCAGGGTAGAAAATAAACAGGAGAAACCAGAGAAAGGTTGTGGTTCTAGGCAAATACCTAGTTGTCTCTTCATTTGCAAGCAAGCAACGTTTTGCTCAAAATGTTTCCATATCCTCTAAAAATGCCATAGAATAATCCTTAAAACAGATACAAGTTACATACCCTACAAACCACTTACAACTTTTCAATAGAAAACAAGTATTCTGCACCCCTCCCTCGTCTCCTCCTCCCCATCGCCCCAAAGTTCTCGCTGTTAAAAGCAACAGAAAATTGAAAAATATCAAGAAAAAGTTGAACTTACAGTAGCCAAACATTATTGAAAAAAGTGGGAAATATAATTAATGTCTGTCCTGCGCGGTGCCACTGCAACCTGCAGCCAGCTTTTGCCCAGTGAATGCACGAGCTTGCAACTGCAAAAACACTGGATTCATTAACCATCTGAATGCAAAACGTAAGCATGCTTTGAGTTCTTAAAGCTGACCAAAGTTTTTTTTTTTAATGTGTATGTTTTACTTCAACAGTGCCAGCGTTTTAAATTGCCATGTAAACAAAGACAACTTTAGAAAAAGTTAGGGCTACTGGACTCTCCCCCCAACAAATTAATATAGATATGTCCATGTACACGTAGCTGTCTTGTTTCAGGTTGTGCACCGTTTTCTTAAGTTTGCTTTGATTCTATTTTTAATGTAAACTCCAATGCAATTTAAGCTCTTGAAACATAATGGCTAGGATACTTTTTTTCCTAATTATAGTTTTGAACTTGGCAGTTATTTTTCAATTAAATGAGAGCACAATTCAAAGTTCTTTTTTTTTTCTTTTCCAGATGCCTACAAAATCTCCCTGGAGCTAGAAATGAAGTCGTCATATTTGCCTGCTCTTTGAGATCTGAAGGAATTCAATTTCTTTTCCTGTGGCATATAAAATATAATTTTAAAGTCAATTACAAGAAGGAGTAATCTGCATTCTGCAAAATTGACTGGTTCGCTAATTTGACTATAAGACATCTTTAATGATTGTCAGGAGATAAACTTTAACTGTAAACGGCTAAATATATTTATAAGAAAAGTGCTGCATCTCTTGCCACATGAACATGAAGCATATCTAAACACAACATCGAAAGTTGTGTTAAAAGAAACCAAAGCCATACAACACAGGGATTAAATGATGTGGAAGCTCATGCCAGCTGCAGTCTATGCATTATAGCCAAATCAGAAGGATCAGTAAATGCCGTTGTAAATTGTAATTTGTATGCAGTATTTAAGCAGAGGGTAGAGTTTGATGAAGAAATAAAACAAGTATCATGCTTTTTAAAAAAATGACAACTATGAAAGCATGGTTCAGTCACAAACTTTCCTTTCAAAGTAGAGGGGTGAAAACAAGGCCACAGCTCTGGAGGAGGCGGCCCCAGCTCGGTGAAGAGAAGAGGGAACCAGTGAACAGGCCAGAAGCCCCCCTTCTCCCCTAATTAGACCTACAAGTGCAATAAATCTCACTCCTCTTTTTCCATGCTAAGCTTCCAAAGGATGATGCAGCAATGAATCTACTCAGGGTACTCCAGTCCCCAGCCCTCCCCCATTTTAAATAAAAGGAAGAAAGAGGCGGAGGGGAAAGTAGGATGCAAAAACACAGAAACAAGTTTTCTGAGGGAAGTAAGCACCCCTCCCCAAGTTCATGCCAGCACAGCCCCAAGCATCCTCACGCACACGCGGGAAAGAGACACACATCGAGCACATCCAAGACAGAAGAAGGAAGGGGGTTTTAAGCCACAGCTCACGATCCCAGGGACACAATCCAGAGCAGGCAGCGGGGTGGAAGAGCCACGGAGAGGAGCGCAGGCCGGGAGGGGGAGGCAGCGGCAGCGAGCTGGGGGGGGGGGGAGGACGCCGGGGGAGGAAGGCAGCGGGGACAGGGGAAGCTGGGACGGGCCGGGACTGCAGAAGCCCCAGCCCTATACAGCAGCCACCCCCGTGAGAGAGAAAGAAAGAGGGCCGGGAAGGCGGGCGAAGCTCAGGGAAAGAAGCAGAGAAGAAATATTCACCTTCCCGCCTCATGCCCACTTTGAGGCACTTCTTGAGGCGGCAGTATTGGCACTGGTTGCGGTGGTGCTGGTCGATGGGACAGTTCCTGTTGGCACGGCATGTGTAAGTTAAGTTCCTGCGGACGCTCCTCTTGAAGAAACTTTTGCAGCCCTCGCAGGTGAATTGGCCGTAGTGCTTGCCGCTTGACTTGTCCCCGCACACCACGCACTCGATGTGCTGCTGGCTCTGGCCCGAGCCAGGCGGGCCCTGGCCCTTGTCCCCTGCCGTGCCGGGGGTGGCGGGCGCTCCGGGCTGGCCCGGGGTCTGCGGAGTGTGCGGTGCGCCCGAGCCTGCCTGCTGCTGCTGTTCGCCCGCGCCGCCGCCGCCGCGGGCCGCCTGCGCTGCGGGGTTGGGGCCGCCGGGGTTGCCCCCGGCCACGTCGTCCTGCGGATCTCGCCAGCTGCTAACTACCATTGCCATATCTTTGGGCCCGGGGAGCGCTGGGGGGAGCCGAGCTGCTCGCCGAGGGCCGCGGGGCGCGCGGGCGCGCTGGGAGGGGAAGGGGAAGGGGAAGGGGGGAGGGGGAGGGGGCGGGGGGCCCACTGGGCGCCCCGGGGTCGCGGGAGCCGAGCCCGAGCCGGGCACCGGCCGCTGCCTCCTCCGCCGCCGCCGCTGCCGCCTCTACTGCCTCGGCCGCCCCGCTGCTGCTGCGCGCCCGCCCGCCCTGCTGGCGTTTTGTTGTGGTTCCTGCTGTTTTCTTTCTCTCTTTTTGCAGCCCCCCCAGGCTCTCAGACTCCCCCCCCACAACACCCCTGCTCCCCTCGCCCGCTCCCCCCGCTCTCCGATCCTGGGGGGGCCACGCTCTCCTTCCCCCCCTCCCCACCCCCCCAGAGAGCAAGCTCCCTTCTCTCGCTTTTTTCTTCTTCCCCAAGTTGCAAAATCAGAAATGGCACAGGCGGCAGCCGGGAGCGGCGCGGGGCGCAGCGCCGGGGGCGGCGGGCATGGGCCACGGCGCGCGCACACACTCGCCCTCCGCCTCGCCCGCACCCCCGCGCACACACACACTCGCACACACACTCGCTCACCCGCGCCAGGCGCCCGCCCGCCCGTCGGCCGCTCGGGCTACGCGCTGAGCGCGGGCTGAGCCGACATAGAAGACCGCGAGGGCGGCGGCGGCGGCGGTGGAGAAGGAGGTCGCGACTGCAGGCGCCGCTGGAGCCGCCGCCTCAGCTGCAGCGGCGAGTGCCTCTGGAGGAGCCGGGGCCCGGGCCGGAGTCGGAGCTGGAGTCGGGGCCGCAGCCGGAGTGCGAGGCCAGGTCGGGGCCGCCCGCGCAGCCGCCGCTGTCCCGGCGGGAGCCCTCGCTGGGCTCGGGATTGAGGGGAGTGCGGTGAGCCGAGCGGGGCGCGGGGCAAGGCTTCTGGCGGAGATCAGGGTGCACTGGTGTCTGGGGGCCAGGTCCAGGGCCGGACGCAGCCAGCCATTCAGGAAGGCAGCGCTGGAGAGCGGGAGGCAGCCGGCGAGGAGGATCACACACTTTGCTCTTTTTGTTGTGCCGGTGGCGCCGGGCTCTCGCTGCCTTCTTCTTTCGGGAGGTGACGGAAGGAGAGAAAAATATGAGATATTCACGCCGACGACGAATTTACAGCAAAATAGAAAAAATAAAATTCAGAAGAAAAAGAATTGCAAAAAAAAAAAAAAAAAAAAAAAGCGAGAGAGACATCCAAAGTAGGTCGAATAAATAATCCTCTTCTCTTCCTTTTTCTTGCTCCTTCTTCTGCTTCTTCTGCTATAACACACAGAGCTAGTTAAAAAAACCCTGGAGATCGCCCAAAAATGTTCTTTTTTTAGTATTTTAAATAAGTGCTCTTCAGCCGGGAACCAACACCCTCCCTCCAAAAAAAAATCATATATGTATAAAATAACGATAAGAAGAATATGAAGGGGGTGCCTCCTCCTCTTTTTTTTTTTTTTTTTTTTAAGTTTAGCCCTCTCTCGTTTGCAGGAATGGAGTAAAAGAGACAAGGAGGAGGGAGAAAAAGGAGAGATAGAAGAAGAATATGGGGGAAACAACTAGTAGAATACGTAAGAAAAGAGAAAAGGGAGAGAAGACCGAGGGACAGAAGAGAGATTGAGAGAGAGAGAGAGAGAGGCAGAGGAGGTGGAGAGAGGAGAGAGAGGGAGAGAGAGAGAGAGAGGGAGAGAGAGAGAGGGAGAGAGAGGGAGAGAGAGAGAGAGAGAGAGAGAGACCCCAAAATTGAATGCGTTTAAACGGGAGAACTCGCAGAGCAATGTTTCCGAAAGGGGGATCTGCGCGAATGTCTGTATATAGTGAACTTTGACACTACTATTGAAACTGACACGTTTCTATGGAGATCGCTGCCTTATATGGAGCCCGTGTCAAGGAGCCAGGAGAAGGGCTGCTGGCAACTGATAATCAAAGGCGACTGACTGGTCAGAGCCCTGAATGGGAGGCGGGGGGGTGGGGGGTGCAGAGAAAATGGGAGGCTAAGGTTAGCCATGCCTCCTGCACGCCATTGGTTGGAGAGCCCTCCCCCCTCCTCTTTTTCTTTCTTTCTTCCTCCACCTCCCTCTTAGCTACCTCCTGACGGGGATACCGAGGGGAGGAGGAGAGAAAGTGAGGGAGGGGGGTGTGCTTCTGACAAGCGCAATTTACATTGAGATCGCCCTGCGCTGCTATTTACTCTGAGACCTGATTAGTATGGGTCGTCTGTGGTCACACTCTCTCTCTCTCTCTCTCTCTCACTCACCAGAGGGGGAAGGGATGACGAGAGGGAGAATGCTTGCGATGTGCAAATTAGAAGGAAATTATGTTGATTTCTTCTGAAAAGTTTTAAAAATTAGTATCTATGAGCCTGAAGAGAGTGTCATTGAAAATGTTAGGAAATTTTTAATGGGAATTTAACTCTCACCATTTTAATGATTCGTGAAATACACTGGGTTTGGACTGCTTTCTTCTTTCACATATAAGCATAATCCAAGTGTGGATTGTGCTTATTTTATATCCTTTTAAGAAACGAGGTAGATAGGGACTCCTTGTTTTTTGGTCCTAAGTGTATCTTGGTTTTAAAGGTTTAATTACAATAAAACACTCCTGTAATGTGCAGCTATTGCCATGAAATCTATCCGAATTCAACGGTTCCTATTGATCCCAGAGATTATTTAAAAAATAAACTTTCCAGTCAATTTGGTTTTTCTTTCTTCTTTCTTTTTTTCCTCTATGTTATCCTCAGGCTGTTCCAAACTCGAAACAACACTTCAGTAATTATTAAGAAAACAGTAGTAACTCCTCATAGTGTTGGGGTGGGGTGGGGTGGTTAGTGCGGCCAAGTCAGAGTCCCAGAAGAAGAGGAAAGGAGCAAAGGAACGAGAAAAAAAGGGAGAAGATGGGGAGAAGTGAGGGGAGAGTGGGGAAGGGAGGGAGGGTAGAGGGGAGAGAGAGGGAGGAGGAGGGTGGGGGAGGGAGAAGGAGGGAGGGGGAAAGAGAGAGGGGGAGGGGAGGGGAGGGGGAAGGGGAGAGAGAGAGAGAGAGAGAGAGAGAGAGAGAGAGAGAGAGAGAGAGAGAGAGAGAGAGAAATTCCCGAAGGCGATTGGTCGCGGGAGGAGGGGCGGGCGGGAGCGGGTCGGCCGCGGGGCCTGCAGAAATCGCTGGCTCCGGCTGCCACCTAGCGGACGGGAGCCGCGCCCGGGAGGCACACAGCCGGGTTCTTCCTCCCCTCTCCGCAGGCAGCCTGTGCCTTTTCTCCAAATGAAGACAGCACTTTGAAAATTCTTTCAATGGATTTTTTTTTTTTTTACTTGAAAGATCGTACTGGGGGAAAAATGATACTTCTATTAGTTACATATTCTCCAATCGCACACTCGCACCCCCCTCGTTTTGGGATCGCTCCCCTAGGCAGGCTCAGGCAGGCGCGGAGCGGCGCGGAGTGACAAAGCCGACGCTGCTGCTGCCGCCGCCGGGGGTGGGAGCCGCGCTCGCCTGCCCGCCCGCCCCTCTACTCGCGAGAGCGTTAAAGTTTGTCTCAGCTCCAGCATCCCAAGCCTCAACACGCCCTCAGATAAAGGTGGGAGTAAATGGCCACGCTGTATTGACAGAGGTAGGGTTTGTTTTTCAATTCTCGTTCTCACTTTAAATTTCACCAGGTAGGGGTTTGGGAAGCGCTGAGCTTTTGGGGTGCGTTTTGCGCTTCCCGGTCTCTCCAGCCTACAAGTCGAGAATTGGCGATCGGTTAGTGAGGAGGGATGATTTTAAAGGGCCGAATAAAGGCTTTCCCGTGCCCGCCCCACAGCCCCTCCAGCTCGAATAATGGAGAGACAGTCAATGCACTCTGCAAGCGGCGGCCCATTGTACGCAGCTGATAGAGAGGAGGCGACTGGGGCCAGCAGGGGCTCCTTGCCCTTGTCCCTCTCCCCAAATAAACGCGTTTACGTCTCCTGGTCAGTTAAAAGGTGAAACGAACACGAAAAAAAAAAAAAAAGAACAAGAACCAGCTTTCTATATATACATTCCAAATTTTACTCCCCATACAGTAAAGACAAGCAGTGGAGGGCAGGCAGAGGGAGCAGGCAGAGAGGGAGACAGAAGGAAAGAGAACAAGGAGAGAGACGGAGCGAGCGGAAGAAGAGGCGAGGGCGAGCGCCAGGGAACCGAAGGTCCGCTGGACACCGGGTCCTCGGGCCCAGCCGCCCTCGGACTTTGGACTGTGAGTCGCTGGGCACCGGAAGCGAGACTCTGCCAAGTCCTGCCCCACCAGGCAAGTAAAGCAATGATTATCGTTTCTTTTGAACTTGGGGTCTGCAACATGGACAGGTCAGGAGGCAACCTTAGCTCGAATGGCCTCTATAGGCCGGGGCCGGAGTGCAGGCAGACAGGGCGGGACGAGAAGAACTTTCCGCGGGGCCTGCCCGGGAGCTGCCCTCACTCTGCCTCTGTCCTGCCGCGCGGAGGCAGGGAGAGCGGCCGCCGCGCCGCCGCGGAGCTGAGGATCTTGCCAGCCAAGAGTTAGTCCGGAATCAAAACAGGTCTCTCCAACCCCCATCCTCGACCCGCCCCCCCTTCCTTTCGGGAAATGGCTACTGGGCCTCCAGCGCGGGTGCGGAGACAGGCGACTGCAGAACCGCAGATTTTGCACCGCGCTGCCGCCCCCGCCGGTGCCGAGCTCGAGCCACGGTGGAGACGGCGGCGGAGTCCCGCCGGGCTGGCCCTGTTGCCCGAGCCTTGCTGGCTGCGGTCAGGGCCTGGAGAGCTCAGCTCCTGCTGCCCACCTGCAGACACCGTTAGTAACGGGTTCCTCTAACGTAACGCAATCGATGGCTGCCTGTTTGATGTGGGCGATAGTGTCAGCGGATTAAAAGGGACGCCAAGCCGCTCTCTCCAGCCGAGAACCTGCGGAGGCGGCGGCGATGAGAGCACCAGATCCGCAGCCCCAAAGCCCAGGCAGACTCCTCGAGCCTTAGCCAGAGGGCT